CTAAGAGAGTCACCTTCTCCAATAGGGCCAGAGAATAAAGCAGTAACAATCCCTTCCTCATTCCTGAAGACTCCTCCAATCCCAGAGGGCCCTGGGTGCTTACACTACTGCCATCAAAATTCAGCTTTATAAAGCCCGAGGGGGGAGGGGACCAGAACGGACAAAGAGTTCTCTTACATCTAGCAGTGAAAGCAATCTCTTTCCAGTTTCTTAGCAAGTCATCCATAGGATAATCTGAAAACAACTCCAAAGATTTTAGCCAGTGGACCGCTCTTATAAGGATTCGATCTAACAAATCTTCCAAAGTTTTTTCTTTGTCAGAAAATATGCGTGAGTTTCTTTCTTCCCACAAAGACCAGCAAACCGCTGCCCTAATATACCTCCACATAGTCTTCCCTCGCTTCTTAGGCCAACTGAAAAAAGGAGGAGAAAACAAACCTTGGACAGTCTCCGGAGGATACCAAGAACACCCAAAACGGGAGAAAACCCACTCCCAAACAGATTTAGCAACCTTACAAGAGACCATGAGGTGGTAGCCAGATTCCTCATCAGCTTTACAAAGAGCATATCTATTAGGAATTACTTTCTCTTTTATTGATATTGGTCTGAATCCCACATCTAGGGAAGTTTCTGTCTGGCATATGCAAAACCTTCTTATCCCTTTTGTTTATTATACCCTGGCGGTGTTGTTGAATTCCCTTTCTTCGGCCCTAAAAGTTTCATTTTTCCATCAAGCCTCTCTTGTGTCAAGGTCCCAAATCATATTTTGAGGTTTCAGAGCTTTTATAAAATTCACCATTTTATTTGAACCAAATAGCTGTCTCTTCATGATAAATGATATCCTCCCAAAACTCAGTTATTGCCTCCTTCACAAAGGAGGTGTTCAAATGATCTTTATGGACTGTATTTGAGAAGATTGTTCCTGGTGGCTGGCTACAACCCTAGAAGACAGCATGGAATGCTGACATTGACAGCATCAAAATTGGGAAGTATAAAGCTGAAGTTTGATAGTAACCTTGGCTCTTGAGGGCTGGATACTTTAGAAATTGGGTGGGAAGTGTCCTGCTTGCCTTCTAACAGGAGTTTAAGTTGGTCTGTTGTTCAGGTTGGGTTGACTTGGTTGTTGGAAGGAGATTACCAGGTTGTTATTGGATGGTTATCCTCAAGGGAAGAAGGCCTCTTGCTCCTTTAGCAACCAAATGAACTGTGTATGGACCCCTATTTCCACCAACAGCCTTGCTGACTCTAGCAAGGACAGGGTTGACTATAAATTACAATAAACTTGGGCTTGGAATCAAATGCTCTTATGGAAAGTACTTAGTAACTTTTTAGGTTGGGGTAGGGGTAGGGGTCATGCACACGATGCCCTTCTGTGCTCTCTTTTACTTGTGTGTGCTTCTCATGAGTGGTTATGTTTTGTTCAATCCCTGACTTAGAATTAGTTAAATTTTTAGCCTCTTTGTTGTTCCATACCAACAAGTAATCCATGAAGTGCAAAATGTCTTGTTTTCATTTGCCAGTCTCATGAAAAATCCATGAAGTGCAAAATTTTAGCTTATCTGTAGCCGAGCTAGTGATCTTTAATTTTCAGAGTTTTACTAGAAATTTGGATGTATTAGTCTGACACATTTTTTTCATATGTTTTGGCATCAGGCCCATCCTTATTTCTTTCAAGTGAGAGCTGCGGAGAATAGCAGGATGCGGACACAGTAAAAAATGCCTATTGAGGATCTACATTTCATATAAACTTGGGCCAGATGGTGCTGTTGATTTGTGATTTAGCCTGCTTTACCAGTTACCATTATATGTTTACATAAAGCGTGGCGGCTGTGTTCCAGTTGGAGGCAGTTATTTACACATGAGTTTTTATTTAATGGTCTCGTGTTCAACTCTCTTCGGTCTGTTTGAGAGGTTATGTTGTATCCCTGCTCAAGGTTTTTAGTGACAAATTTTATGATAGTTATATACAATCTACTTTAGCTGGCTTTTAAGCAGTAGTGGAATGACCTCTACTTGATAAATTTATTCTGTGCACTCCAACTTCAAGAGCCAAAATAGCGGTGTTTCTCCCAAGTGATCAACCATTCAAAGAGTCTTTTTCTGAAAGAGATAATCAACTCCATGTCCTAATAGCATTCAATCATTAAAAGTTTCTGAAAGAGATATCTTTTGCATTGATGATTAAACGATCCTGCTAACATTACTATGTCTTGAAACCGCAATTTTCCAAATCGACAAAGGACCGGGCCTTCTAAAATCCTGATATTTATGTTCAAAATCCCTACAAGGCCACAACCACGACAATGGGTCTTTACAAAGTTCAGTTATTGATTGAATTTTAGGATACAATATGTAGTGCACAAGTTATTAGATAAATTATTGAAATTCACAAATCCTACAAATGCATTGAAAATACTAAATCTAAATGACTACAAGGTATTTTTTGGCACTACAAGTAGGATATAAATACATAAGAAACACATTTTAAATGTTTGTGGAATGTGAGCTACTAGGACTGCAAGTCAGGTTGCGCAATTAATTGAATTTCAATTATATCATTCTCAGGCTTGTTCAGGTTAGGGTCCGATCTCTATTGAAAATTTAACAAATTTGTTGCACTTCACCCCTAATTGAAACATGCATGTATACATTAGAAAACCAACATAAATTTTAATAATACTTAAAAGTATTAATTTTGAAGTATATAAAATTAGGCTTAGGGTTAAAAACTTAAAATTGAAACCTTCGCCATTTAATTTGAAGTTATCGCGTGTAATGGTGGGATTTGCACTTCTTGTGTGAGATTTGGGTTCAAATCTCTACATCTGCTTTTTTTTTTTTAAATAAAAGAAGAGTAGCCATAGTTTTTTTTTTTCTTTTTTCCTTTCTTTTTTGGGTTTTGGGGAGGGGGAGGGTAAAAGACTTAAAGTGACCCTGGGCGTTCATTAATTGACTAAACATACCCTTAAGTTTTCCGAATAGACTTAGCGTACCTTATTCCAGTTAACATAAACGAAAATAATAAAAAGACGATTGTACCCTTTTGTTGCAAAACACGGTCTTCCCCATTTGTCTGCAACATCTTGCCGTAGTAGATGCTAATGCTGGTACAATATACTGTTGGTGATGCTGAGAAATGAGAACTACAATATATCTTTCAATCTGAGTTATGTTTATAGTATACATGGGAAAATGCCTGCTCTCACCTTCACATGATGTACATGTGGGTTCAAGACCGGGATTCATGAGCATCTTCGTTGAATGGTTCAATCCTCACCATTTTATTGTTTACACCCTTAATGGTTTCTTGGGTCCAGACCTGGGTTTGTTCTTAGAGTGGATCAATCCTCACCCTTGTATTTGGGTTCTCTGATCATGGATGCTGATGTAGGGTAGCCCGGCCCAGCCCACGAGCGCCAGACTTGGGGCTACGATTCAGCACAGCGGAGGCTACCTTGCTCCTCTCATACGGAGCCAACAGCAGAGTGCCCCTGCGTCCCTGCAATGCTTGCTGATCGCCCTCGTACGACATTCATCGGGGGCGTCCATCTCCACCTACCTCCCAGCAGCTCAAGTATAAATACGAGGTGCCCCCCTCTAGGTAAAGGATCCCTGAATTCCAGCTCTAGCTCTACTCCTAAGAGGACTTAACTCCTGGGAGCCTAGTGCCTACGAGTGCCCTCTTTGGCACCAGATTCCATTCCTCTTGCCCTCGTACTAACTTGACCATTGGAGCCTCTGCCTTGGGTTCCCACCCGAGGCCTCTGACACTTTTTGTCTTGCAGTACCTTGGATTTTAAGGGACTTCGCCACTTAGTCAACAGCCCTCGGCCATAAACACTTGACTCCAGTATTCAAAGAGAACAATCCGCCTCGGCCTACAGTCCTCAGCCTTGGCATACCTCCTCTGAACCCTCAAAGCCTTTGGCCAGCCTTCAGAGCTCGAGAGCGAATTTATCTTGTTGCCCTTGGCCAAACCGGGTAGCAACAGATGCCATCCACCAACCCTTCTACATCTTATCCCAAGTTTTCCCTTGTCATTGTTGTAGAGTTGACTCGTCAGGGTTTTTCTCTAGAAGGCTTCCTCGGTTCTTTTATTGAGGTCAGTGTCTGAAACTAACTCTAAGAAACCTAAATAACTCCTAAACATTTTCTCTCTCCATTTGGACCATATAATTTATGCAATAGCAATTTGTTACTAGCTCTTGAATTCTGGAATTAAATAAGTTGGGTTTTGGGAGATGATATTAAAATAGGGATGACAGGAAACAATAGAGAGATGGGACTGTTAGGAGCCATACATACAACAATAGACGAGAAGCAGGTGAGGAAGAAAAAGAAAGAAAACAGATCAGGTATATACGGGGACTTGGGAATCATTGAGAGAAGAACGTTAAAACAGGGATGCTCCGGTTTTCTTTTGAAGCTAAGACAGGGATATTTTTAATGATTTTCTTTCTAATCTAGATTTACATATACATAAATTTCACCTTTCAGAAGATAAAAACTAATCACTGTTCAAACGTGATATATAAATAGGATTCCTTGATTGCAAGCATCATCAGTGAGAGAAATTTTCTTATATATATATATATATATATATATATATATATATATATATATATACATTTGAAATTGAAGCAAGCTCTGGTTTTTAACAAATTTGAGAAAAGAGTCTTGAAAAATTTAGTGTCTAATCGCAAGCTTGAAAACAAAACAACCTCAGATTCTCCAATGCAAGTTTTACTGGTTCTCGTTAGTTTACTCTTGAGAAATTTGGGTTCAGAATCCTGGAAGGAGACGAGAAAGGAGCTAATATTTTCCTGCATGTACCATACAAGGAGAGGAGGGCCTAATCACATGGGAGAATAGAAAGGGTCAAATAGGGTTTTTGAAATTTTAAACAGGTCACTGGTCTGGTCACATGGCAGTTACATTGAAACGCCATATAACTTTCACTAACGGAAATAATTGATACAGTAACGTGCATTAATTAGGGATTCAATTTGTGGACAGGTAATTAAAAATTTGAAAATGTACCGCAATACATACGTTATATTGGTCTTTATGTATTGAACAACACATTGGATACAGGTAGAATCGCACGAAATTTCATCCATTCTACCTGTGTAATGTATGTTGATCCCATTGGAAACCGATACTATGCACCATGTATTGGGTTTGTCGTATCAATATTTAAACCTTGTTTGGAACTTGATAGTTGTTTAACATGCTGTTCTAATTACAGTTTATCTAGAGAGAGTCATTCCTCATTCCATTTCATGGTTGTGTAGATTGATCAGTTGATGCCAATTATTCTCTTATTTTGTTAGTTTTGAAATCCCCCCAAATACATATATTGTTTCAATTATAGTGTTATAAGGCATTAGGTCTGTCTCATTCAACAACCTTAAGCGTAGTAACCTGCAAAGCATGCAGCAGAGTATCGTCTGACTACTGATCTTCAACACCCAAAATCATAAGATGCCAATCCTTGCAGCTCTGGTCCATTAAGTCTGCTGTTGTTCTCAAAGCTGAAAGAAAATAAAGGAACACAAATAGCTTAGTTCATATTCACAGAAAGAAAATTTGGATTACATTAGAAAGCAAGTTTGAAATGCATTTTTGGATAATATTGTGTCAGAAAGAACGGGAAAAGATGCATTTTGGGCAAGAACTATGTCTTGCCCCATGATATTGTAAGGAGAAGGGAAATTAAATAAATGAGGAAATATGCTCCCAAGTTGGAAAATCCTCCATAATCCATACACATGGGTGTAGACTTTTAACATCTAAATAGTAAATATGTTCAGGTTGGAAATTCCTCTGCAAGCATGAATAGATGCAAATAAAGGATGGATTATACATCACCATTGCCAAAAGAATTTACAAAAAGTAATTATAAACACGTGAACATTCATTTGAGTGCCTTTACATGGTAATTCACTTGATAGATGCACAGTTGCAGAGATAAATGGGGAAGGGATATTCATAATTTAGGCTTGATATATAATCAAATCTTTCTCAAACAAAGCTACATCTGTATAACTAATTTCACATATTTCAGAAGATTTATCAAAGCATCACTAGCTGGACCTCGTGCACCGGCAATACTCAGACAGAAAATGCAATTAAATCTTCTTTAATTTTTAAGTTATAAGATGTATACAATAGATCAAAATGACATACTTATGTAAGCACACACACAAGTTTACACTGACATCTGATGGTTGAATGAAAAAAAAGGGCAATATTGATAATATCCTACAATGAAGACATCCTCCCACCCATTTGATGTGCCTTAGCATAAAAAAATTGACATTTCTATGCCCACCACCTTGTGCACCGTTAAATACAAAAAGATAGGAACTATTGATCTTTGTACAAGTACCAACCAATGCACGGTTGAAACTTGAAACAAAAGACATTAGGCTGACTGCCAGAGTCTTAACATCATTTATGTTTGTAGTGATCATCCCTTTGGGTTGAGAAAGCGCTGTGGAATTGTGTCCTAACCTAATCACTAACAAGATCAGGACATAGTTTTTTTCTTATAATTCTTATTGTTCTTCATATCACCTCAAGATGATGAATATTTCCTGGACCTATCATTTCAAAACAAAAGGAGTGTGAGTATTCTTGAAGTGTGGTCTGATCTTCAATATTCTCATTTTCTTGTGATGTGCCATTGGGACATCACCATCTACTAACATATGCAGTAATAAACCTTCCTGTTATCCTGATTTGGGTGTTTGAGATACCATATCCTCATCAGTGTAAGATTCTAAGAGAGAGAGAGAGAGAGAGAGAGAGAGAGAAGCAACAGCACCTTTGGATGGGGAAGGTCGCAAACGGCCCGTCGGTTGGAATTGTTCCGCAGAGATTGTTGTTTGAAACATCACTACAATGGAAACAAATCCGTTCAAGATAGAAAATGGAACTGAGAAAAATAAGAAAAGAAAATTAAAAAAAGCAAAGCTTATTTCTCTATACATACAAGATTTTGAGGTTTGAAAGGGCTGTGAGTTCTCTGGGGATGGGTCCTGTCAGCTTGTTGTTGTTCAGACGTCTGTACCATCAAGTTCAACCAAGGAGAAAGGTTAAAACCTTTTTTTTTCCGAAATTTGTTACCATATCGCGGAGTTGAAACAATTCACTACTAGTAATCAATAATCCAGGCAAAACAGAGAAACCAAACTTACAGGAACTTAAGTGACTTCAACTGGGAGAAAGACTTTGGGATCTTTCCTTCCAATTTGTTGTCATATAAATCCATGCTAACAAGGTTCTTCAGTTTACCTAATTCCTTTGGAATTTTCCCTTGGATGTTGTTCCTATAGAGCTCCCTGTAATTGATGGAGAAAGTCTACTCTCAATTACTTAAAATTACGAAAGAAAGAGATGGCGAGGTTTGAGCTTATTCGCCTAATGAAAACATAAAACTCAAAGATAATGAAAAATAAAAAGTTGAGCAATTGCCCCACTAGTCCAAGAGGTAAGGGAATTACAGGTACTGGAGATACTTGAGATCGCCGAGCTCTGGCCCCAAAGTACCAGAAATATTACAATTACCCAGATCCCTGCTCACATGTAACAAGGAAAAGAAAAAGAAAATAACCCAGCAAGAAGAATAAGAGGAGAGAGAGAGAGAGAGGAGTAAGGAAAGAAAAACTAAAAAGAATTTAAGCTTACAGTCGGATAACATGATTGTTAGAGTCGCAGGTGACATGAAACCAGGTGCATGGATTGACCAGAGACGGGTCCCAGCTTTGCAGAACATTTGTGGGATCCGAGAGCCTGCTTCTTAAGGCATGAAGAGCATTTCCTGATTTTTGTTTAGTTTAATCACGAAGAACCACTAAAAGAACTTAATATAGATAAAAGAAATTAAATAAAAGCAAGATAAATCTGCTAGCCCCAAAAGAAGAGGGTGGGGGAGAGAGACAGAGAGGAAAGAAAAAGAAACTCGGAAGTCATAAAATTACCTTCGGAATTGGTTGAGATGGCTGGAGAAACAGCGAAGTGAAAGGCAAGCAAGGAGAGAAGGAAAGAAAGAGCCATCGACAAAACAAGAAGAAGATGAGAAGAGGAACAGAGGAAGAGGACCCAACTATTATGTACGTATGAGACCTGCTTCTGCTGCTGCTGTGTAAGAATGAACGGAGAAATTAATTAAAAAATGCTGAAAGAAAGTCCTCACTATGGTCCCCACTCCCCAGAGTAAATGGTCAACGAATTCGATCGAGTCCAGTAGAGAGAGAGAGAGGGGACTTGGTTGGGAATGAAAAGTCAGTCAGTGGGTCAGGGTGACGCTCAGTCGTAACTCGTAAGATAAATTTTGCTGCGTCATGTGGTATGTGGAGCCCCTTTACTTACGGCATCAATAAAAAATAATTGCATCAAAATCAAATCAACACAAAATTTTAAATTTGGGCTACAAAAAATGTGTCAAAGAACTACACTTGAGCTTTCAAATAACGTACTTGACTCATATGGGATGGGTTATTCAAATAAGGCACGAAGGTAAATTTCTCAAACCTCCCCTCAAGTTTCTGTTCGTTTCTGAAGAAATTGGTAATTGCAATAATCTCTCCTCAATTTTATGAAACATTCTCTTCCAATCCTCTAACGAGAGGCATAAAATATTCCATATCTATCTTAAACCTCCCTTCAACTAAAATGTTTGTTTTTCAAATTTTTTCTTAATATCAATCGCTATCTTAAACCCTTTTAATTTTATTTCTGATTTATTTTTCAAATTTTCTTTCATATCAATCTCTCAAAACTAAAGCTATAACTTTAAACTCTTTGTCTTATTGTTGATAAAGTTTTTATTATTTTTTATGTAGAAACCAGTTTTAATAGTAATTGCAACTTTATCAAAAAAAATTCAGGGGAAGTGATTGTAATTTAGGGGTGAGCAAAGAAAATCGAAAAATCGAACCGATCGAAAAAATCGACCGAAACTAAACCGAAAAATCGATTAACCTAACCAGCCAGTTCGATTTCGGTTTGGTGTTTTAAAAAACCAAAGGTACTGATTCAGTTTCGGTTAACCAATATAAAAAACCAGTGGTTAACCGAATTGACCAGTATACATATATTTCTATATATTTTATATATTTTTTTTATATTATAAATTAATAAATATATATTTATAATATATGATACATTATTTATTATTTAAAATATAATATTATATATATTTATAATTTTTATTATATATTTATATATTTTTTTATAATATATTGTAAAAATTAAAAAACCGAAAAATTGATGAACCAAATCGACGGTTAACTGAACCAGTCAACTGATTGATCGATTGGTTTCGATTCGATTTCGATTACCGATTTTTAGAAAACTGATAGTACTGATTCAATTACGAAAAAAAACCCACGGTTCGATTTTAACCGAACCATGAACACCTCTATTGTAATTACCAAACTTCAATGGAGATTTCAGCAATGATCAGAAACTTCAGGGGATCTTTCAACAGTTTACCCTAAAAAACTAAGACAAATAAGATGATGTACCAAATAACACAAAATCTAAGCCATTAAAATAGTATCTTGAGCTTAATCAACTAATTCCAACCATTGAAATGATACACCAAGATTTGGCTTGATCTAACCCACCCAATTGGTGTATCCAATCCAACATTGCATCTTTGTTAGAATTGGATTTTTAATGGTCTCATGGATTGTTGATAGATTCAAGGTTTTGAAAATGGTCCTGAAAATGGAATCGCTTTGGCCACTGTTTTTTGCATCTGTGATTCAACCATCTGGATTGAATGGTTCGACCTATAATGTCAAAAATAAAATAAACATAAATATATTTATAAATTCTAAAAATATACATAAAATATTTAGAAATAATAAAAAATGTCATCAAAATTAAATAAATACAAGATAATGAGACATATCAGGTCAGATCTGGGTTTTAAAAACCTGTTTGATGCCCCATATACCATAACATATGACCCTTAAACCGCTGTATGGTCGAATGGTTTAACAGTTTGACTTCTCGAGTTAGTGGTTTCTTTGAAATCTAATCCAAAATCAGACTCGGAATCATGACGGACTCCTGGGTCCAACAGTCGAACTGTCCGATCCAATTCAATTTTCAAAACAGTGCAATGATTAGTATTTTTTTTTCAAAAATTTTGAAAAGTGATTATTTTGGCAACCGTTTCTTGGTTCTAACGGTTCGAGTGTTTAAGTCCAGAGTCCGAGTCTGACAACATTAATCCAATAAACCCAACAATTTAAGCTATCACAAAGGTCTAAGATTAATGAACCAATCTCAGACATCCAAGTGATATACCAAAGTTCCAACTAATTTGTTCTCCAAACAATGCACATAAAATCGACTCTATAAACTAGGTCATTAATTTGGTCTCCTAAGAGCAAAGGATAAATTTTGACCATCCGAGCAATGTACCACTATTTCAATTCATCCTGCCTATTCAAATAAAAACCAAAATTCATGAAAAATGTAAGCCAAATAAAATTATGTATAGAATAAGTCAAAGATCTGAGCCTTCAACATGACCTCTTTAGATTAATCACTTAATTTCAACCATCCAAATTATGTACTGAGATTTCATCTGTTTTAGCCTGTCCAAATGAAGCACCAAACTTGATTTATCCCATACAAATGAGGCACCAAATCAACAGAAATAAGCCATTAAAGTGGATTCTTGAGATCGGGGTTAAGCTCAACCAAAGAAATCCAGCCTATCAAAGTGGTTTGCTAGAGCAATGGGTTAATCTCACCCATGCAAATAACAAATTAAATTAAACCAAACATTTGGTTTATATAAGCAGTATCCATGAATAAATGAACCAATGGATTTTTATCTAATTTATCTTATAGAAGTTTCATAGGGTATGAAAGTGTCACACCCCGGACCCCGTTCAGTTTGGGAAGAGTGCAAAAACAAATATATACAGTGAGTTCGACTTCAGTCAGTGCAAGCCCATGCTCATATCTTTTGAACAGCCTCTTGTAATCGAATATCTCTCCATAAGATAAAGCACATAAGTGCGGATATATTCTCAATGGATGTTGCATTGACTGAAGCTAAACTCATATACAGTATAAAACCTTGTATACATGGTATTTGAAACCTTCCACTTGCACTTTACATATTGTATTTGAACTCTTACTAGCTAAGTTTATTTGCAAGTTTCATTTGTACTTGGGAGTGCAAATAGGCTGTGTAAATTCTGGTTTACTTTTTGGGTGTGTAGGAAGAGTTATGAAGAGAGTTATTTGTTTCTGTAAGAAGCAAGATATATAGGGCGTTTGAAACCGAGGGAGTTTATTAAACAAACGCTGCCACTTAAACATCACTTCGGCATTTCTCCCATTATGTGAACCCGTACACATAGGGACTTATAAAAGTAGGCTTCAGTTTATACGTACCCTACCATTGAGGGAAGCTTCATTTTGGTGCTTTCACCAACGCAATAGGTTCATTATTGTTTTTTTCGGTTTTCTAAACAAATCAAGTACAAAACATTTAGTCAATAAATGTCCACGGTTCCAAATACATACATAGTGATTCCCACTTTATACAGGAAAGAATTGAAGTATAAAAAAAAAATTATGCAAATTTTGCATCAATATTCTAAATGCAAAAAATACAAATTTTGTATTAGATAGAAATCTAAATCATAGTTACAAACGAACATATGCAAAACTAAACTGGACAAAATTTGTATTTCCATTCAGATTGTACTTCAAACAAACAGAACCTAAACAGCCTTGTCTTTCCTATTACGAGCCCCGAAGAATAGCATGTAACATACCATGTGCCAAATATGGTCGAGATTCGAGAACCATTGTTGGATGAATCTCACCTATGATGGAGCCTACGCGGTTACATCATAAGTCATCAAGATCACATGTAGACAGTTTTCTTTTCAAACCAAACGGATCCAAAGAAAATAAGAGCCCGTTTGGGATGACTTCCCATTGAGCCGATTCAGAGAAATTAGATAGCTTCATTTAAAAATCGATTTTATGGCTCATGTTAATCTATTTTCAGCTTTCTGAATCTTGACCATATATGACTTCATTATATTATGGGATTTTTGGTTCATGTACATCACCCCACAACGCTCCACAGCACATCCCCGCCGTACATTGAGAACATCTCCCAATACATGGCAGGGATGTGCTGTGGGGTGTCGTAGGGCGGAGATGTGAACTCCACTATAAGCTGCTGTGTGAAAACCCTCCCAAACAAGTGCCCTAATTTTTTATGTGAAAGAAAAAACAAAGAAGAAAACAATGTCAAGTCCCAGATCTAAAGCTCTTAAAATTGCTATTGGATCAGCTACCAATACATGGTCCCAACAATGTCCTAATCAGCCTTTACAGCCCTATGTTGTGAACATCTCCCATGGAGATGTAATGTTCCGATTGTGTGGCTATAGTGATCTATTGGGACAGTGTTGTGAGCGTATTATTGGTAGGTTCCTACCCCCTTAAAATTCAAAATGAGGCAAAAAAAAAAAGGATAAGTGGACTGCAACTTATCCCAAACCCCCTCCCTCCCACAAAAAAAAAAAAAATAGAGCAACTTAGAAAAAAAAAACGTGAAATTGATTGAATGGTGGGTCCCGAATTCCGGAATCAACGGATTAATCATAGAAGGGATGATCAGTAATGGTTACCGTATCCGTAGGACTAAAAGCTATGCCGCGTGGGGGCACAACCCCAACCCCAAAGAAAACAAAGGAAGGAAATATTCAAACAGGTGGTGGGACTCACCCAATGATAAGTCCCCATCATCAATCGGGGTGGGACTCACGCTCACCCCGATTCATCTATAGCTAGCCTAAATATACGACTTTCAGACAGTTTCACAATTAGGCCAAGCGATTATTTATAATGAAGCTTGACGACGGCTAGTACTAGGCTACGGCTCTTCCCACTACTGTGAATAATAAAATTCTGTATTCAGTAAAATATATAATGAGGCTAAAGTTTGTCTTGGATGACTGGCAGCAATTGTTTTTGAACTATATGATATACAGAGAAACGGCAGAAACTATATATGATGAAAGGATGATATTGATTGGACGATTCTATGTCTCTAACCATTAAAAAGAATATCCGTTTTTCTTTTTTCCGATTATGAGCAATTTTTGAACGCTTTGGTCTTGTAAAAGTATCCATAAATTTTACATCATTGTTCGTATCTTAAATATGGTCATGCAGAGGTTTGTAATTTGTACATTGCAAACAAGCCAAAACAATGTCTGAATTCTGAAAGACTTGACTAGGCTAGACAAGAAGGTGAGCATAAAGTACAGTGTGCACACTCTGTCTCTGGCTACTATTTATAGTTTGGGTTAATTGATGATTCAACTCAAAATCATAGAGCTTTACTTTTATTATTGGGAAAATTCCCGATTAGTATCCTGTACTTTGAGACTAGTGCCATTTTGGTTCTTAAACTTTAAAATGCGATAATTCAGTATCCAAAATTTTAAAATATGATAATCCATTACCTATTGTTAACCGGCTGTTAAGTGACATTTGAAAAAGACACAAATGCCCTTCAAGTGTTATTTAATTTTCTTTACCAACCATCTAAACGTTGACAAAAAATTAACAGTCCCAAATATTTGTCTTTTTCATTCAAGAAAGTTGGGCTCTCATTTGAGTGGGCATTTTGGTAACCCCAATTTTCTTGAATAGAAGAAGCAAGAATTTGAGATAATTAATTTGTTGTCAATATTTAGATGGTTGATAAAGAAAATTAAATGTCACTCAAAAGGCATTTGTGTCTTTTGCAAATACCACTTAATGGCTGGTTAACAATTAGTTAACAGCAAGTACTAGATTGTCATGTTTTGAAAGTTTGAGTACTAAATTGTCGCATTTTAAAGTTCGAAAACCAAAGTGGCACTAGACTCAAAGTACATGATACTAATCGAGAATTTTTCCTTTATTATTAAACCAATTGAGTTGAGCTCACCAAACCAAACCTGGGTATTAATTGAGTATTAATGTGAGGAGACCACATCTGTGCCCCACATGCACATCTCAGCATGAATACACGGTTGGGATATGCTGTGGGGTGGCAAATGTGAATTCGAATGTGAGGTTCTGCTTCATGAGAGGATAGCTTACAAAGAAGGGTACTTACGAGGCTGCATCCCCTAGATTGGCTAAAGGATCTTTGGGCCAGGGATTTGAATAGTGTTAAATATAGCGGCCCGTAAAATGTTTTTATGGTTGTGTGTTGCTTGCTTTTCTTTAGCTTGTAACCTGTTGGGGGAGAATGACTGATCATGCTCAGAATTTTTTAGCCCCACCCGCTGTGCGTCTTGCTACTTTTCTTGTATCCTTTGTTTCTTCCATTGCTTCATGAATCCTTTATTTATCAAAGAAGAAAAAGAATCTAAATTTGGCCTCATTGAGAGGATATCCACCCAATAGATGAGAATGAGATCGGCTCAAGACTGCTCGCACCGTTTGCACACCAGTGCATTGAGAATGTATGTATACTTGTATGCTTTTATTTCATGGGAAGATATTGCCAATGCAAGCCTGCAAAGACTGCAAATGGTGTGACCAGCACCAAAGCCGATTTCTCAGCAAGTATAATCAATAAACAATAATCGTCCATAAACACCATGCTGGCTTTATCCGATACAAGAGGTTCTCTCTCTGGTCTCTACAACCATTTCTCACAAAGTCATCCCCTCAATAAATAATAATCGTCCGGCAAGTTTTAGGGGCTCTCCCCCATCCCTTCTCAGTGTCATATTCATATGCATATCCAGTTTTACAAGGTTGCATTCAAAAATCAAAACCACCTAAACCTCTTAGCAGCTGGGCCTGGGCAGCTGCAACATTCCATTATTCTCAACCGAAGCTTCAAAATGGTGTTTTACCAACAACTTGCGTATAGTGGTCCGACCGGCCACGTTCTGTTGCGTTGAGAAGGACTGGCGATTCATAAGCCTAGCTTAAGCTGGATCAACCATTCTTTATAGGAGCAATGGAGATAAGTCCTTAAAATAAGGAATGCCAAATGCAGACTTAAGGGGGAATAAGAAAAAGGTCAGTACCAAATACCAATTAAAACAAGAATTAAAAGACAGACCATTCACATGTATATATCATATATATTCCACAAACAGTCCTGAAGTCTAGATGGATCCCTTGGGAATCTAATTCAGACATTCAATAATTTAACGAGCTTGGAAGCATCACTGCCTCCTCATTTCAACAAGCTCTTTTTTCCCAGTTCTTACAAAATGTTATCATTTCTTCAGATGGGGAAAGCACGTATAAAGATCAGACTTGGGATGCTTCGCTTCTGCATGTTCCTTGCACTTCACCTCAGACGTGGTGCAGATAAAGGTTTGCATGCACACCTTGCACTGCATTCACCAATCACCAAGTACCATTCAACAAAAAATATAGGCATTTTTTTGTAACAAAAAATGATATATCTTCAACTAAAATTAAGGGTCCATTTGTTTCTCAGGATTAGAGGTCTGGAATTGGAACCGGAATGGTTCATTCAGATTCAGATTCCACTTCTCATTCCAATTCCAACTGTTTGGTTGGGCAGGCAGAATCATATTCCACTTCCCATTCCTCGTGGAATGGCATTCCCCCATATGAGGGAATGAGAATCCCATCCCAGCCGATTCTGATTCCAATTCTCGTCTGAACCAAACAAGTGGGGGAATACACCATTCCACTAGAGCTTCAGACAGTGAAGCAAATGGACCCTAAGATGTGCTAAGATCTAAGCATCAAGTTGTTAACAATGAAAAATACCTAACAAAAGAAAATAGAAATACCTAACAAAAGAAAATAGAAATACCCACTGCTAAAGAACATGTGCACATCAAGCCTTTGACTAGTCCACTAAATGTAAGAGGCTATAGTAATTTCTAAGTACAGCTGTATTTTAAAACACGGAGTACAGGGCAGTAACCTTTTGATTCCTATTTCTAGGAACAAATAATTCCAGAAATGGGTTTGTAATACACACTGGAATGTGTTTCAAGGTGTAATAAAGTGATGAATAAATTACAAAATAAATGTTACATTCTGAAGAAACACAACTTGTCTATTCAGAAGATAAATTTAGAAATGGAAGAATTACCTACATTCGACAAAGTTTCTTTCATATAATATATGAAAAGGGCAACATACCTGAGTTATTATCTCTTATTTTTTTGATGATTTGTACTTAAAAGAAAATTTCATACAAGAATTTAACCAAAGCATCAGTACTTCTTTGACATATTTATAAACCTAACAAAGAGGCGGTGGACAGAGAGAGGATTGTATATGCCCATCAAGCTTAGTATCTGTAATCTTGTACCTTTATCATGCATCAAATTCTTAGTCACAACAGAAGCTTAATTTATATTTTTCTGAATGATAAAATTCCCATAAAAAGGTCCTCTGCGCCATGTCTAATGTGGAAACATCCATTTGTCAAAATTTGTCACTTAAAAATGATAACATGGCGAACAAAGCGAACCTTTTTGAATCACAACACAAGTTTATACAATATTTCGAAGTCTTTGCTGTATGACAGACTGTATTGCAAATCCATCCCAGTACATCCAGCAGTAACGGATGGCTAACGGTAGGGGAAGTATTAGTCAATTGTCAGAAACAGTAGGGGTAGCATTAGTCAATTTTCAAACAGTAAGAGTACACTTAGTCAATTAACTAAACCATAAGGGTAGTTTAAGAAATTTACCCTTATTAATATCATTACGGATCAACCAACAAGAAAATAGAAAATGTCTAATACTTCGTTCTGACACTGCACAAAGTTATATCAACAATCCATCTGTAAACTTTTATGCAGTCAATTCATGCTTATACAAGCACACTTAAATAAAAAGACACAAGAAAAGTTTACCAAGCCAACTCTTAGTGGTCAAAATACATGTAGAATTACATAAATCTCAATCCATATCTCAGTTATTGAGTTAATTTAGAACCTTTGCCAACTTACAACAATAATGCTGCACATCAAAGTTGGAAATAAAGCTCTGCCCCTCCTTTCTTGTACTTCTCTTAGTTTTCATTTGATAACTCTCCTCTTCTTGCAGGTGGCCTTTTTTCTAGCTTTAGTTACTTCAACCATACAGTTTTATGGTTTTAGCTATTGAATGATGTCATTACATCAACACAAAAATGAGAGTGCTAACTGCTGAAGAAAAAATGCTGGTAATTCTTGCAAAATGACTAAGATGCCAAATTCACAAAATTCATAAAAGGACACAGATCAAGCACAAGGCAAAGAATCAAGGCAACCCAAACATCTTCTAAACTTCTTCGTATCAACTTATATTGCCCCATAAAGGCTCTATGTTCCTGGATTTGCCCCTTTTATGGGTCAAACTAAATGTCAATTACCCCTCTCTACAGAAAAAGTATAAGCTACTAAAGTAGTTAATATTTATCTGAACACTAATATCATATAAGCTATTAAAATAACCCAAGGAAATTCCAATGTGCAGGTTGGAAATAGCCATCCAATGGCTGTCTTCCTAATTGTTATGTCCAAACCTCTCCATATAATGGGGAGTAGTGGAATTTTCATTTTACACAAAATCAAGCTATGTGTTAATGATCAAAATAAATTCTAAAATTATAAACCTATAGAAAAGGAGGTTTTGGATAGTTTCCCTTAATTATTTATTTATTTCGAGGGGGATTAATTTTCAACTAAGGCTCAGTTTGGAAGGAATGCAAATACAAACATGTAGAGTGCAAAACCTTGTATTTTATATTATTTTGTATGTAATTGCACTGTACATATTTGTATTTGTACTGGGCCTATACTTTTCTTTCTAGTTGCCAGCAGACTTTATTATGAACTCTGAACTTCAGAGAATTCAGGTTGACATGGTACCTCTGACAATAGACTTTCTAGTTGACAGAAAACTTTTCTTTCTAGTCCAAGCCTAAACTTGAACCCGTTTAAGTTTACCTGACTTATCACTTTGTTTATGTTTTCCACTTTGTCTTTCCAAGACATGGTAACTTCAAATGCTTTATCCTGCACAATTAATTTGTCGAATCTCTCTAAATGTAATAAAAGTGGTCGTCCTTTTTTGTTTTTCAAATTGCGTAAAATAGTTCCAATTTCAAGAAACCAAAAACAGCAAAAATGGTTTGAGATGACAAATTATAGAAGTGTTGGATAGTTCAAAGTTAAGAAACCATCTGGTTCCAAATTTTGGTTCGATATAAATTTACATGGATCCAGCATCTGGTTCCAAATTTTGGCTCGATATAAATTTACATGGATCCAGTTAGCAAAGTGATAACCACAAAACAAATTACTATGCATTACACCAAGATGTTTCAACAACAGAAATTGCCAAAACCAGTATAATTTGATTGATTTAAATAATGATAACGATGGTAAATGGATGTTCAGAAGCCAACTCTGCTTAGAATTTGACAAATAAATTCATTATCTGAAATGGATTCAGAAATGTTAACAAGATAATATAACGACCTGGATCCTTGAATTATAAGATGAGTTAAATTTTGTAGCATCCTTACAATGAATCCGAGTTGGATAATAAAAATGAAGTAATTTCATCCCATGTGGCCACCTAATGCGCCATAAATGAACCATACCCAAATCCTTCCCCACAAAAGTAATAGATAAATAACTTTTCGAAAAAAATAAATAATACCATTTGGCAACCACGGCTCTATGGTTAAGTCCTAAGAAAAAACCCTAAAAAAAGGATAATATAGCCAAAAGATAGAAGCCTAAAGGCACAGATCAACAAACTCAACGCAGAGAAGAAGGTTACCTGGATAGTCATCGCCTTCTTGTTCGATTCCAGCTGGCTCCCTGCACAATTCCAACAGGTTAATGAAAAAAAAAAAGGCAAAAAGATAAAACTGACAGAGGATCCAGAGGTATAGAAGGATGAATTAATTTCTTTTTTCTCGTTACCATAAAAAAAATCTAGAAGGATGAAAAGAAAATTTCACAAAAACGAAGAGAGACACCGAAAAGAGGGGACAGTGACCAGAGAGAGAGAGAGAGACCTTTGGGGGCTTTCATTTTATCCAGGTGCTTCTCTCGAGCCATCCTGGACTTCTGCCCGTTGCCTCCTCCCATGGCAGCTTATTTACAAAACAAGTCTGGGAACAGAGGGTAAAGGGTAGAGAAGGGTTGGGGAAGAAGAACAAGGAAGGAGGAAAGCAGGACAACCTAAATCTACACGCGGGAGAGGGCAAAGAAAAAATGCCAACACAAGCTCCAGTTTATAGTGGAAGGCTGGACCCCCCCTTTCATCCGAGAAGCTTCATCGTATTTTCTAATTTTTTTTTCTTTTATTTTCCTAAAATTTTATTGGTGATTTTGTGTACGAATTTAATGATGATTTGGTGCACTTGGAACCACCAATATATCGGTACACAAACGGTTTGAATGACCGTACATCTACGCTTTCGGGTTTCGTTGTGGTTCCACATTTGGGTCCCATCATTTTCTTGCTCGATGCGAAAACTTGGGATTAGTTTTGATGAAATAAATATGATCACCATCAGCTCATTGTACTCTGCCGTCAAATGTTGATCTGACGGTGACAAGCTTTGATCGTTTATAGTATGTGGGACCTACAGCATCTCTTCCCCATCTTTTTTTGGTAAACCTTAAACCCCTCTTCTTCCCTATCTCCGGTCCCAAGCCCAACCCCGCTTTCGTTTTAACCTTTATTGACTTCCCGACTTCTGAGCCTGCTCTATGGTTAACTAGTGATAGCAAGCATTAGTGCATGATGCGCTGGGCCTCACTAGTGATTGTGGTTGGATGAGTGTCGTTCACTTTCTCACTTCTCCTGCAAGTGTAGGAACAACAACTAACAAGTGGCCTGTGGCCAGCCGGTAGGCCCACCATTAGAGAAAAACCTGTTTCTTCCTTTGCTGCTACACTAGTCGTAATTTGGTCATTTCTTCCTCAGCTTTGACTCAACCGAGTTGAGAAAACTTTTTTTTTTTTGGCCAAGAAGAAGTAAGCTCCATTAACTAGTGGGGGTTGAGAGTTGAGAAGTTGGAAGTGGAATTTCATTAATGCTTCCTTCGTGCTGTGACAACGCGTCTATGGACGGTCAAACGCGGGCACGTAGGATGAACGTCACCGTTCAAATCCCAAAACTGTAACAGAATAGAATATATTGCGTTCACGCTGCAGCGGCCAATAGATTAAGGTGCGCATACATCCTATTGGAAATTAATAACGACATTGCTTTGTTCTGCTAAAAGCCTAAAACAATTCCGATCACCCATGGGCTGGTTATATCTCAATTTTTTAGTAGTTTAATCAAAAGCCAGGCTTCTGAAAGGTGCGAACAGTTTAGTAGGGAAAGAGGGTTGAAGAAGCGAGAATATACGTTTTATTATAAAAGAGCTTTTGGGTCAATTATCTCGACATTTTTAGAGCTCCGCCCTAGATTGCTTTTGCTCCTCTTCTTCAGCTTTTATCCAAGCAGCCTGAGCAAAGAAAGAGAGAATAAAAAAATTGGTACAAAATGAACAAATTACAATGCGTTTTGCAAGCTAAATATAAACGAGAGAAAAAACAAAAAAAGGAGAGAAGGATGAAGAGAACTTGCCTTGTCTCGCTCAAGTCTCGAGAGACGAGGGCGTATAGAATTCCCTAAGCTCAAGCCTCCCCATGCCTCTTGCAATTCTCTCTCCCTTGCTTCTCGACGTGCCTCTAAATGTTTAGTGTGATCTCCCCCAGATTGCTGAGTAGCAGCCAACTTCTCCTTCTCAAGTCTTGACTGGTGTTTCACCAATATTTGATCCAAACCGCCCTCACTTTTCTCGAGCTCTGGCTCCCTCCTCCTCTTCAATATGATCACTTCTTCCCTCACACCTAACCCCATTTTTTCTTTCTCGAGTCTTGGTACATGCTTCGCCAAGACTTTGTCCAAGCTCTCACAATCTGTAGCATCGCTGCTTCCTTGTTTTTTCTGCTTTCTCTTAACATAATCCATTCCCAATGCTAATGCTTGCATTTTCTCCCTTTCCAACCTGTGCACAGGCTTCACCAGTATCTTATCTAGGCCATTGTCTGTCTCTTTTATTCCATTTCCACCTTGAAGTGACGACAGTAATTCCAATTTCTCCACTGATTCGTTGGAATCTATATTTTCTTTGCCCGCTTGCCCTACTGTATCATCCAACTCTTTGACAACCTTAGGCAAAGCCAGACTCTTGTCATTAACCTTGCTGTTGCCTCCCACTAGTTGGTCAGTTTTTCTCATGTTCCTGGCATCTTGAACCTCTCTTTCAAGTCTTGACACATGCTTCACCAGAAACTTGTCTAGACTAGGGACATCTGAAACATCTTTTTTTCTTTGCTGGATCAATCTATCTTGCTTGTTTCCCTTCTTGTCATTAACCCCAGATTCTGTTGCTAACTTCTTTTTTTCCTCTTCAATCTCCTTCTGTAGCTTAGAGGAATGCTTTAGTAGAATACTTCCCAAATCTGTGATAGCCTCAGATGAAGTGATAGTCCTGTTTGAATTGTCTGCCGTGTCCTCTGATCCTTGTGGATTGTTCCTGCATCCTTCTTTACACTCACTGTTTCTCATGTTTTTGGCTTCTTCTACCTCTCTTTCAAGCTTCGACATGTGCTTAACCAAAAACTTGTCTAAACTTGGGAGTTCTGTCACCACCTGTTTCCTTCTTATCTCCCTATCCATGACGTGCTCCATGTTAGAGCGTCGAAAAACCCCCGTATTTCTGCCAAAAGTAACAATAGGAGCCATGGTTTCAGTGCCAAATTCTGGATTCTGCTGCTTACTATTTTCCACTTCAAGCAGAGCAGCATTCAAGCCACAGGTAGCAACTATGGTGGCAAGAGAAGCCAGCTCATCTTCTTGTAAACATTTGAGCCTGTTGAGCATCAAATCAACAAGTTTTGTGGTATTAATATTTGGTGAAATTTGCTTGTTCTTACTCTTTCTTTGTCTTAATTTTGTGCCTGGAATCTTCGAATTTGAACACTGAGAAACAACACCATCTTCTTGAGACCCTGAGTCCAGTCCAGAATCATTATCTGCTTCACATTCTGATGAAAATTCTGATAATTCTTGGTTGGTCTCATTTGTATCTGGATTTTGACTGATCTTCCACAGTAGGTCTTTGATATCATCCTTAGTTAGAGAAGAGGGGCAATGTGCAAGCCTAATTAATGCAGTCTTGACAGCTGCTGCAACTTCTTTGTCTACCTCAAATGCTGTTTCAAAAGATGCCGTAACAGTATGTGTGGTAGATCCTCCTTTGTTTACTGAAGATGACTCTATTTCACATGGCTTCCAAGGGCAATCTTGTCTCTCATACATGATCACTCCCATTGCTTTTGCTGCTTCAAAGGCTTCAACTACACCTTTCTCTGCTTTAAGCAAAAAGGCCTCTGCTTCTTTGCTCTGGATTCTATTAAAAATTAAAGAAACAAGTTTAGAGAGGAACCAAAATTTTGATCTTAATGTAATGAGTGGGGAAAAAAAGAAACCTGGCAGCTCGAAGTATTCTACACCAAGATGCTTCCACCATTGCAGCTTTACGAGCCTCCATGACCCTCTGTGCTGCTTCTCTAGCTGCAATCTTTTCTCTCTCTACTCTACAGTAATGAAGATTTGAATTACCCAAAGTCTCATCAAGAGTTGAATTCATGCCCCCTATTTCCTGTAATATAATATGTACTTCAGATTAGTAACTGTGCTTGCCTCAAACAACCAAACCTAGTGGGCAAGAAATGCCTCACGGAATGAAAATGAAACCAAAAAGTAGTACCTGCAGGAGCTTTATTTTCCTATTCAAGTAAGAATCTGTCTTTTTCCTAGGGAACCAGTTAAGTGGAGAAGAATTCCTTCTGTGAGGAGGCTTCTTTATGTGGGATGTTGATTTATTGACAGCATTTAGTGTTTGACCAATATCTTTTGAAACTCTATTCTGCATTAAAAAATCAATGTGAAAAGATAATAAGAAATGATTTTTCTTCATCTGGGAAAAAAACTTGATCACATAGCCATTTTGATTTCATTTTAGCACATCATTGGATAGTATGAATAGACAAGTGCAATTGTATGGCATATAGTAACATAACCATGCAAGGGACTTGGTCAAATAATTTGTGTGAGCATGTCTACACATACGCACAGTCGCACATATGTCATGCTTAACTAGTTAAAGTTTGCCCAAGTTTTGCCTTCTGTGGTTCCAGTTTTTTTTTTTTTTTTTT